AGCACAGATGGTGTTACCTATCAGATAATGAAATGTCTGCAAGAAAACAATCAAGGTCAGAGAGCATCAAGGGCCTCAAAGTTTAACCATGAGCTACAAATATTCTCTTCTGTCAGAACCATAACTTCTATCATTTCTAGGACAGCATTCTGATTGATAATGATGGGAACTGTTGTCCAACACATCCACCGTACTGGGGAGGCACTGCTATAGTTATGCAAACAATTCTGACAAGACGGACCTAAAGATTGCTACATTATGACCATCTTGAAAGCTGACCTGTTTCCTATCCCTTAGTTTTAGTTCAGCTTTGAAGCCAAGTTCATTCTACAGAGGAATTATTGAGTCTGTCATCTGCACCTTTATAACTGTTTGGTTTGGTTCTGCAACCCAACAGGACAGACACAGACTTCAGAGGGTAATTAGGACTGCAGAAAAAACAATTACTACCCACCTGCCTTCAATCGAGGACCTGTATACTGCATGAGTCAGAAAGAGGGCTGTGAAAATATTTACAGACCTCTCACATCAACTCCTACCTTCAAAACGATGCTATAGAGCATTGCACACCAGAACAGACACAAGGAGAGTTTTTTCCCGAAAGCCATCACTCTGCTAAGCAAATAATTCCCTCAACACTGTCCAGCTATTTACAAAGTCTGCACTACTATTACTATTAATCTTCTCATCACTACTTATCACCCATCCCCTCCCACTTGTGACTGTATGATTGTAACTTTGTCGCTTGTATCCTTACGATTTATATTGACTGTTTCCTAGTATGATTTGATTGCTTATTGTACCCTATGACTATCATTAAGTGCCGTACCTTATGATTCTTGACTTTTGACAAATGTATCTTTTCTTTTATGTACACTGAGAGCATTTGCACTAAGATAAATTCTTTCTGCGTCCAATCATATTTGGCCAATAAAAAAGTCTATATTCTACATTCTATAATGGCTGGTTCCAATTCAATAATGTGTATTCTTCAGTGGTGGGATTCAAATTTTTTTACTCCTGGTTCTGTGGGCACGGCTTGGTGGGCGTGACAGGGGAAGGATACTCTAAAATCTCCAGTCAGAGATGGGAGTTGCTGGTTCTCTGAACTACTCAAAATTTCCACTACCGGTTCTCCAGAACTGGTGAGAACCTGCTGAATACCACCCCTGGTATTCCTCAGGCATGACTGGTCAACTCTCCCAAAGCAGACTATGCCTCCAAATGTATATTTCCTTTCCAAAGTGACTTCTCCATTGTTTGCATGTTTGGAAGTGCAGCAGGAAACATTTGTGTATGAATAATGTGGCCCATTGTGCTTTAAATCCAGAGCTATAAGTGGGTTGTAGCTGATTAATTTCCTACATTGCAAATGCTGACTCAGGAAACCGCTTGCTGTGCCAAATCACATTTTTAAAAGTACTTTCCCTTTATTTTTGTTTGCCATTATTAAACTTTCAATATCCCTAGCTAAACTCAAGGAAATAAGATCACAAAATCCTGCAAAAATACATCAAACATTCCATATAGCCAGCTTCAATTGACCCAGATATACCAGATTTCAATTTTCTGACTAATTATTGTAGGGGAGTGAGTGCTATTAGAAGTTGAAGGTTCCTGGCATTCTGCAGTAGACATAGCCAGAGAAGATCAATCTTTCTTACCTATTTCCTTCCGCCTTTTATATTCATTGATATTGGCATTGACATCTGTCATAGCGGTGGCTGCAGCCTGCAGGGCTCCATAGGCACTGTCAGTGTCTGAAGTGTTTTCCACAATCTTCTGCAGCATCAGTGGGTATTTTGTGATTCGTTGCACTGGCATCACCAGGAAGAAGCTCAGGTTTGAAGCACCAGTGTGAGGCCTGACCAAGAAATGCAAAAGGATACCAGTCAGAAAATGTTGGGTCCCCTCAAGCAAACAGCGCCATCTATTAGGACCCAGAAAGCATATTTTCTCTGTCACGGAGCTTGTTTTCTAGTCTGGAATAAGATCCTTCCCCCTCCTGCCCAGAGATCCATATCAACTCCCTGTCCTGGCAATGTTTTAGAAAGCCTTCAAAATCTGGATTTTTTTTCCCCCAGCTTTGTGATGAGGTGCTTATGGAGCAGAGTAGGTGACGTTTTTGTTAGAAGCGGTGGGTTTGTGGAGATGCAGGGATTTTCCTACTGGTTTTCCTTGTTTTACTTCTTGTTTTTTATTTTATGTAAGCTACCCAGAGTCATTTCACAATGGGTGTCCTCTAACGCTCCTAAATAAACATCAGGATTTAAAGCGGCTTTAAATTGTTTCAGTCTTTCCAAATGGGAAACTGAATATTTCATATGTATTTAACAGAGAGGCAGGATTTGCATTTTACATGCCTATTTATTTATTTGATTTACATCTCCTTTTTCTTTGGCACACCTCAAGACAGTGTGCCTAATAATTCTTTCCCCCAACCCGATGAGGTGGATTGGGGTGGGAAAGCGTGCCCAATCCAGTCATTCAATTGGCTCCCTTGCCTAAAAGAAGACTAGAAATCCCATCTCCCAATTTCTAGTCCAATACTTTACCCATTACGTCAGATTGGTTATTTTTTTATTTGAGCCTGCAAAAAAAACAAACAAACCCCAAAACAAAACAAAATCCATGAATCAAATACAATAGCCGTCTTCCCTTTATAATATTCTAAAGTATCTTCTATATCTACTTGATAATCCACCTCCAATTGTTATGCTTGATTTCCAACAAAGTTAAGGTGTTTAACCTTTAAAGCCCAATGGTACGTTATGAGCATGCCATTGCCTGGAATATGGGCAATTCACCATCATGTGTGAAGATTACACATTAGCCTTGATTAACAATGCAGGCCTGATGGACAGATTCTTGCGATTGCTGCTGCTCTATTAAGTTTGAAGGATTTTTCTGCAGCTGGGCTCTAGTTGGTAGTAGTGGCAGAAAGAAATGTGTAAGATGAGCTCCTTCGTATGAGCATCCTGTTTCAAAGAAGGTCAACAAGGTTTCTAAAAAGTTTATCAACAGATGAGACCTCAGCAAATGGTGCTCTATTGTTGTTGTTGTTGTTATTATCATATCACATTGTTACATTAGTCAAGAGACCACAATGCTATTGCAAAGTAGTAGTTTGGTTGCCAATTTACCAGCTCTGTTCTAGGAGAGGCTCACATACTTCCCAGGGTGGGCCAAAGGAGGCGAGGTGGCTTTGCACCAGAAAGAAGGACAAGTAATTCTTCCTACAGCATCATCCAAGGCCCCTTCCCTTCCCTGGAGCCACCTTGCAAATGGGCACCACAACTGGGAAGGTTAAGAGCCAGCAGGAATCTGACTGTCTGTATGGAATACCAATTCATTTCCCCACCAAAGTGGTATCTATTTATCTACTTGCATAGAACATCTGTTAGGTGGATAGAAGTTGAGGCAGCTGACAGGAGCTCACCCCTCCCTGCAGTGCTAGGACTCAAACCACTAGAGCAGAGACCATCTCCAGCGTTATTAAGCAACTGAGCTTAATAACCGTGCCTCTGCTACTCTGTGACACTCCCTCTGGACATAATTGATTCAGTGTCTATGCAAAATTGTCTTTAATAGCTTTTGGAGATTGGCTTTTAATATTCAATCGCTTTGAATATTAAAACTCACAGAGCATTACCATTTTTTTCATGGCACTTTCCATGAAAAATAATATCCACTAAAAAAGGAAATATGTTGTAGTTTGCACAATGCCTTCTTATTCGTACCCCAATCAAGCATGCTAAACAGTGTGGCTTTATTTAATCCCTTTAAAAACTTGTTTGGCCCAATGACCACCTTATCTGATGGCATTGAATTCTGTAAAGGACAAGATGCCTTGAATCTTGCTATGAATTCATGGAACATCACAATTGCAGGAAATTAATACAATCCAATAGAAATCCAGTGGATAGATGATGTATAGCTCATACTGCATTTGCAATTGTACTTGTTTCTCTGCTTTTAAACATGATATTTAGCAAAAGGCGTCTATGTTCAAAATTAAATACAAATGGCATGAGTAGAGTTGCTTCACATCCTACTGAGATTTGAACCCTCTGGTTTCGATATGTATGTGATTCATTTGGAAAAAGAGCTGTTATCTCTCTCAGCTATGCTACCCCTACTAAAGTATCTGTTTTAGCAAGGTGAAGGGATGAAGTGACCCAAAGTGCACAGATGCTGTCTACCACTGACTGATATAACTGCCCCATTAAACCCAGGGTTGTGTTTCTTGAAAAGTAAAAATATTAGCATACTAAAAATCTGGGTTATATGATTGCCACAATCATAGAATATACTTACACAGTGGTAGTCAAGGTTTCCATGATTTCTTTTTGCAATCTTGGCTCCTTACTATAAATATCCAACAGTAAAAGAGCTTGGTCATAGTCTCCACAATAAATTTTATAGACATTTTCCATTTCTGCTTTGAGCTCTTGGAATAAAGTGCCTACCACAACAAAATTACCAAACCATCAGAATGAAGACTCCCAAGACATATAAAAGCCTTAATGCATCATATTGTTCTTAAATCTCATTAATTAGTCTCACTTTCATGCAAGTATGAATATATGTATGCACAGACATGTAAGTATATAGACACAGGAATAATTTTTCAGGCTGATAAAGAGTATACACATTTGAAGTACAATGGTATCTCAGTACCTCAGGTACTCAAGAAGAGATTGGACTGCCATTTGTCAGAAATGGTGTAGGGTCTCCTACGTGGGTGGGGGATTGGACTAGATGACCTCTAAGGTCCCTTCCAACTCTGATTGTCTGTTATCAGTACTCGTTGTTAACTGATTCTGGGAGGTATTATGAGGAGCAAAAACAATGAGTACCAAATAATTTTTTCCCATAAGGAATAATGTAATGAATCACAAGGTAGCCAGTATGGACAAGTTCTAGCTTGTGCATTGAGTACCAAACAAACAATGAGTACCGTTTCACAACAGCACACATTAAATACCAAATTTGATGAGTTTCAAAGCAGTTGAGTACCAAGGTACCATTGTATAGCTGGCTAATTATGAAATTAAGAAGCTAACCCTTCACTTTCGCCCCCAGGTCCTTGAATATGCCACACCTCTCAAGGATATTAGCTCACATTTCAAAAGTGACAATTGAATACAACAGGCAGAATTTCCAAAGAATGGGATTGCAACTCTATTCTCCCTTGGATTCCTTCTTTGCCTGCTTCTTACTTACCCATCACAGTGCAAAACTCTTCTTATCATTAGGTCTCATATGACAGATTATATTAGCCTCACTTTACATATCTCCTCCTTTATCTACTGTCTGTCACTACCCATTGTTCTTTAAATTTTAAGATCCTCTGCTTATTTTACCCCTTAGCCATCCTATCTTTTCATCAAGTTTTCCAGCATTCTTCTTCTTCTTTCTCCACAGTATTCCCTGGAGTGCTTTGAAGATGCTTCACAGATGGCTTCCTAAATGTCCCCTTTTATGACTCATACCGGGCTGTCCCCAGAATCTGAACTCAAAAAATTAAAAATATCTAAGAAAAAAAACATATTGGCTTCCATTTATTTAGCAAACACATTTTACTATTTTGGAAGTTAAACCATTTCTCTTTACTCCATAATCTGATGTACAATCTTGAAATAAGTATGCTTTTGGACAATATTAAAAGAACTATTTTCTTCTGCTACAAATAATAAAAGTAATTCTGGAATGACGGAAACAGCTGATTAATATCAAGCTGATTAACATTAACACTTCTATCTTTCAACTTTTGAAAAGATAATATTGAATCCAGGTTTTAAGACATTAGGCAATCTGATACTGCCTTGTAGTACTTGTGTCAAAGTTATCAAAGTACTCCTGTTATTATAATAGAATCTACACGATTGCTTTAATAATAGTATTCAAAAACTATGCAGTAGATATATCATTGTAGGTACTACCTACTGATATGAAAAAGTTGTCCTTGCCCCTCGTTCACAGAAGCTTCAAGTCCTTTCAACAAACGTTTGGAAACCTCCAGGATATCATCTATATTAGAGAACAATCCTTCCAAGTCAATTTCAGGGAGCTGAAATAAGAGTAGTGCAATGTTTCAGTTTCTCCTCTTAACCAGCATATGCTCCTATTCTACAAGACAAAGATAGTTACTACCTTGTTATCAGTGATATTTCTATTCCAACATTGCTATAACTGTATCCATTAAATATCTGTAGGTTGTGCATTCTGACAAATCCCTTTGTATTTTTGTAAGCAGCTGTATCATGCTGCTTTATTGATCTATGGATTCTTCAAGGGCAGAAGTTGCGAGCACGTTGTTGAAGAATGAATCCACAGAATACAACAGCTAGACAACCGGAAGAAACTTTCTCACAATAGGATCCAGTCATTTCAAACCATACCCTCAATCAGTCAAGGGTTCACCACCCTTACTTGATAAAGTATACATTAACAATTAATATACTCTCTTTCTCTTGCCTTAAACTTAATTTTCAAAGTATCCCCAGCTGAAGAATTTTCTCCCTATACTCTTATTTCTTACTATTCATTGAATGCTTAGTCAATTTGGGGACAAGCCACTGATGGTTACCATCCTTAATGCCGTAGTGTATTTCTATTTATACAGAACAGGATTCCCTGTTGTTTATCATAACTCAAGTGCTGATGATTAGAGACCATCTCTCTTATTCTCACCTGTTTTTTCTGGAGGTGATGACGGATATCAAAAATGCAGAGCTGAAGGTTGTGCACATAGTTAGCTTCTGTAGTGATGAGCTCATCCACGGCCATTTGGTGATTCAGCTCTGGTTTGTCAGAAGTTACCAGAGTTTCATAAATATGTTCATAGATATGTTCCTCATCCTCTGAAGTCACCTTGGATGGAGGTTCTTCAGTGCTGTCATATGCCATATTAAGAGCTACAAAGGCAGAATGAGAAGTTTCAATCATTGAACATATGAGCAATAGTCACGTCAATTCTTAGGCTGTATTTTAATGGGAATTCTCCCTTTTGTTTACTATTACATTTTGAAAATATAAGAGAGAGCTAACATACACTGGCAACAACTTATCAGTTGTAACCATTATTTATCATTCAAAAGGGATTTTCCCATAGCAAGAATTATATTGGCTAGTATTTATAATCTGTTGATAGTAAGCCACTTTGTAGGAAAGAATGAACATATATATTGAGAACTGATTAATAAAATATAATAAATTGTTACATTACAATAATACAAACTTTTAACTACATCAGTCCCCACTTAATCCAAATTCTTCACTGATTAATAGATTTCCAATTTTTGTTATACACTTCGACATTTTGTTATAGCTACACATTGTATCTGGGTGATAACCTATGGTATAATTTGAAAAACCTTACTTGTTCTTAACTAGTTACTATGAAACTTTGAATTTAATTCTAAACAACTGTTTGGAATTCCCAGCAACTCCCCTGATTTATTAATAGGGGTTGGGGCAAGGAATGTAATATAGAAGTGAAACTATTTCTTTCTTCAATAGATTCCTCACTAAAAAGAGTCTCTTCCTGGCAGAGTTTTGACCATGTTGTGGAGCAAAATGAGATCACCCTTCCCCAAGAGATCCTTGCATTAATAAAGTTGTTCTCATGGCCTGCCTGACACTTTCACCCACGTTAAATTTATCATTGCACCAATGAGAGAACAGATACCGTTAAGCAAAAACATGATTCGATGAGAAAAGACCAAGCCACTCCTTGTAAGTTTCTTTCACGTAAGCTTCATTCAAAGTGAAGTCATTTCCCAGATTGATGTAAAAAGGGCTTTTAAATTTTGAGGAGTGTTCATTGACTCTTCCTGACATGATGACATCATACATAATTCTACATAGTGGCTGTCATCATCCACATAAAAGTTAAGTCTGGAATTAAAAGTGATCATACCCTGAATTAAAATATGGGAAAGCTGACCATGGTTGAGGGCACATAACATTTCTCAGTGATGTTTCTAAAGCATCTTGAACCATGCAAATCGCAGTTCTGTGACCTTGGATGAAATCATCATTTTAAAATCAATACAGAGGAAAAGATATTGCTGCTTGCCTGGAATAGTGAGATAACCTTTCAAATTATTTTAACTGATGGATTATTTTTTTTAATCTCAGCATTATTCAATTGAATGGTAAAATGCTTTATTTTCAGGGTATAATTCCATACAGTGCTTATCATTTTATATAGCATTATCAAATTATCACTACCTAATTTTTTTAATGTAGCTGTTAATTTCCTTAGTATATTTAAATCAAAAAGGTGGGGTAAACTATCGAATGATATACACACAGGCTAAGCGAACAGAAGTCACTTGCTTGACATAGTTTTATAGTCTCAGAAATGATAATGTGCAAAACTTAATAAATTCAGTTCTTTGTACTTTCATCATCTACAATTATATTCTAACCCTTAATTTATTATTAATTACTGCATCAATGAGTGACCAAAATTCTCATCCCAATTGCCATCATAAAACAAAGACATCCTGTAGCATACCTACATTTTTAAAAAAAATTAAAAGTGGACTAATAGAAAATACAAAATAAAATAAAAACACAAGCATTTCTCAACAATCACAAATATAAATTTTAAAATGCTAATTATGTAATGTTTGTTTTAAATGGCATCCATTTAAGAGGCTAAATAATAGAAAAACTTGGGTCCTTGTCTAACTGTACAGACCTTCATTGCATAAGCAACAAAAAATGGGGGTAAAGACATCGATCAGTTTCTTTTTACAAGTTAAACAAAAAAAAAAGTTTTGACTTACTTTTCAGGACTGATTTATGGTGGCATTTATTTTCATGGACACAAATCTACTTTAGCAAATAAATACATGGCCTGTTACTGTCAGATGACAAGCAGAGAAGGAGGAAGAAGTGATATATGTTCACTTATATAGAGTCTTTACAGCAAGGTTGAATGCAGAATACTTTTTTACATTAATAATAGAAGTAAAACACAAGATTGCTCCACACCCCTCTCTGCTGTCCTTCAGATTGTTCTCTCTCCCACTTCAGTTTCAAGGCAAGTGGGCATCTTGCCAAAGCATTGATTGAGCTGTGGTTATCCAATATTTTTTTTAAGCGGAATATTTCAAGGCTTTGTCTCCGATTCCCCGAAGTGTGATCTGCAACCCAGTAGTTGTCCCACATGGTTAAGTCAGCTATTTGAAAGACGAAGTAGCACTATTACAGAAAAGGCTCTTGAGTTCAAGTGATGAGAAAGGGCCTTAAGTACAAGATGTAACTTGTATGAAAGAATTGTTTTGATACATTTTCAAGATTGTGTGACATTATGTTACTAAGACGAAAGAAATCTAGAAAAATCACCAGAATCTCAATGTGTCTTGCCAACCTCACAGGACTTGACAGTTCTGGAAAGGATTGTACTGACCCAGATGGAACTATTGCACAACTTGGGCTCCTCCTAAGGTCTTAGCTCAAGCTTAAAGGATAACCAGGGTTAGAAGGGCATTTGCACAATTACATTTTGTGTACCAATTGTGCACATTTCTGGATCAGAAGGTTTTGCTCCCAGTTACTTCCCTTCCGAATTACTGCCTATATGTTCTACATCACATAGAAATTGCAGCTAGCCCAGCTAGTTCAAAATGTGATAGTATGCGTAGTTATGGGTATGCCTTAGCAATAAGAATTTCTTTTAGCCTTATATACTGTTCCACAGGGCTTTGCAGCCCTCTCTGAGTGGTTTTCAGAGTCAGCATATTGCCCCCAACAATCTGGGTTGTTGGAAAGATAGAAAGATGAACCAACCTTGAACCAGTCAGGATTGAACTCCTGGTAGCGGGTAGAGTTTGCCTGAAATACTATATTCTAACCACCGTGCGCTATCATGGCTCCTTGCAATAATGAGCAGCTTATGAACTACTCTGGCTCTCAGTAGGTTTCTGAGTAAATTCAAGATGCTGGTTACTTTATATAATGCTTTTCATGGCACAGAATTGGGTTAGCCATCTGTCTCTGCTTCTGGTCCCCTTAATTAAGCAATATTACCTGATGGAACCAAAGAAACATACCTTTTCTATTGCCATGCCTGCTCTGGGACCCTGACTCTGATGACTTTCCGTAAGGCATTAAAAACTTGATCCTTTCCATGGGCATTGGGCCAGGATGTTTATGAATCCATTTTTTAGGAGTTGTGGATATGTGCAGTGCCTCTGGGATGATGTTTCTTTGAGAGAGGTCTGTTGATGTTTTTATTCTTATTTTAACTGTCATTTGCTAGTCAGAGTCATATTTCAAGTTGGAGGGCATAAAAATCAAATTAAATAAATCAATAAAGCCACTGTAATGACTCTTTAAAAAATAAAATCACAACCAAGGGAGCAATATTCCTTTAGAGACTTTCCATGACTAAAAGGTGCCTCTATTTGCTTCTGTATTTCCTCCTGGGTCTCCAGCAGAAGCTACTAATGTCTGAGAATGTCTGTTGCAAATAGCACTGAATTCCACCCACATGCTGTCAACCCATTTGTGCCTAAAGAGGGAAGGAAGGCTTGAACAGCTAAGGCAGGATATGGACAACACAAGCATCAGATACCTAATTAGGTTATTATGGAAAAAGAGTTGGTATTTCAATTACTTTTTGCCTTTTTAAACTACTATGGCTCTATTTATTCATTGCTCCTTTTCAAATGTCTTTTAGCTGAATACCCAACTCAATATATGTGAAAGCACTACAATATAAAACGATGCCTCATATTTGAAGGTCATCTGTAGAGCCAGCAGAACACTATGGTAAAATGCCATTGCATTTCCACATTTCCTGAGCATTTATTGAGGAATGGAAGAAGTGTAATCCCCATTTCTGAAGTAACTCCTATCCTAGATTAGGATTGAGTTTCAGCAGCACTGTGAGAAGGTAAGATGCCTATGTTATCCTTGTCAGCCAGACCCCTCACCAATCATGACCCATCATTGAATCCCATGCAATAGAACCATGATGGTGAACCTATGGTACGGGTGCCGGAAGTGGCACGCAGAGCCACTTCTGCCAGCATGCAAGAGGTCTCCCAGAAAAGCCCCACTGTGAAGGCACACGTGCCTCCCAGGCTACAGCTGATTGTTGGTATCTGGAGTGCATGCGCGGGGCGTGGGGGTGTGGGAAACACACATGCATATGCAGAGACGTGCGGTGGGCGAAGGGGCTCACACACATGCACAGGGGTCATGGGGGGGCTGCGTGCATAGCCTCTAGGTGCTGGCATGCGAGCACACACGTGCAAGTGAGCATGCAATTTTCAGCACAGGAGCTCAAAAAGGTTAGCCACCACTGCAATAGAACAAAAGATCACTTACTTTTCTGCCCATATTGACACTTGGGCTAAAACTGGCTGGGGTTTCCCTTTAGGAAATTGGCAAATATCCACAACTCAGTCAAAACTATAGACAATTCCCTCAAAATATGGAAACACAGTGTCAGTACCAGCTGCGCTTTAACTGCAACGTGCGAGATTTAATGCAAGCATGTGATATGTCAATAACAAAGAACAAGAACAAAAGAGGGAATTACAAAAGAAAAACCGATTGCAATTCAGTCACAGGCAGTTCCTACAATGACGCTTACAAAGGCCAAACTGGTATAGTTGTTTAGGGTGCTGGCCTAGAAACCAGGAAACTGAGCTCTAGTCTAAGCATGAAAAAACAGCCAGGTGATTGTGAATCAATCAGTCTCTCTTAGCCCAATTCACTTCACAGAGTTGATGTTGTGAGGAAAATTGAAGGAATAAGGAGTATCAAGTATGGTTGCTGCCTTAAGTTACTTATAAAACTAACAAAGAAGGCAGGATTGAAAACATCTACCCCCAATCCCCACCCAAATCCATATAGCAACCACAGAATAATTATTAAGAGCTATGAGAAAGAT